ACTATGCAAACCCTTATGCAAAACCAAAATATCTTACTACAAATGCTTGCAGCTCAGCAGTCCAAATAAACCATGCCTAGCCTTCGAATAACTCTGTGGAACGCCAACGGTGTTTCACGGCATAAACCTGAAATAACTCAATTTCTGAACGAAAACCACATCGACGTTATGTTGCTGGCAGAAACGCATCTCTTATTCTATGGCACCGATCATCCAGATGGTAAAACGCATGGCGGAACTGGAATCTTAATAAGAGACCGCGTCAAACACCACTTTCACCAACGGTTTGCTAAAAATCATCTGCAAGCTACATCGATAAAATTACAGTTGGGCAACTGCAACCTTGCCATTGCCGCTGTCTACTGCCCACCCCGCTTTACAGTCTCCGAAGACCAATTCATGGACTTCTACAATTCGCTTGGAGAGCGAGATTACAACACCAAGCACACGCACTAGGGATCCCGCCTTGTGACCCCCAAAGGAAGGCAACTTTATAATGCACTTATTAAAACATGCAACAAACTAGACTACTTTTCACCAGGCAGCCCTACATACTGGCCTACAGATCCTAGAAAACTACCTGATTTAATTGATTTTACTGTGACAAAAAACATCTCTCGCAATCTAATATGTGCAAAATCGCTTTTGGATCTATTCTTCAAAGCCCGGAATTAATCGAGCACCCTCGCAGGCTGACGTCGTATCGAACCAACTGGCTGAAGTTCAAAAAGTACGTAAGTTCCCACATTGAACTAACTCCACAGCTCAACATCAAGGAGGACATCGACTGCTACGCCGATGCACTGGAGTCTGTACTCGTCGCAGCAACCAAAGTCTCAACACCGCAAGGGAGGGATGGGCACACACACCAACACAAAACTAACCATGAAATCGAACAGCTTGTTCTGGAGAAAAGACGTTTGAGACGTATTTGGCAAACCAGCAGATCGCCATCCTCAAAACAAAGTCTTAAAGAAGTTGGTCGCAGACTTACCAGGGCTCTAAGGCAAGAAGAAGAAAAAGCACAACGCCAGTACATTGAGAAACTTTCACCCACCAGCACTAAGCATCCCGGCCGAAACAGTAATCCCCATAAGAGACTCTTCAGGCAGCTGGGCCAGAAGCGACAAAGACAGAGCTTGTACATTTGCTTTACACCTTCGAAATGTTTTTCAGCCAAACCCTGCAACTAATTCATTCGCACTACCGTCGCCGTCAATTCGAATTGAATCTGAGACGGAGCCAATTCTGTTTCAACCAAATGAAATTGCAAAAGTAATCAGCGAGCAATTGAAACCAAAAAAGGCCCCAGGCGGTGATCAAATGTTAATCGAACTTCCAAACTGTGCAGTTGAGGTTATTTGTAAACTCTTCAACGGGATTACACGACTTGGCTATTTCCCAAAAAAAAGGAAAAAATCGGTAATCATAATGATCCCAAAGCCAGGGAAAGATCACACAATACCAGCTTCGTATAGACCGATAAGTTTAATCTCGTGTCTGTCAAAACTGCTCGAAAAATGCCTTTTGACGCGCATCATTCCATATTTGAAAGAGCACAACGTTATTCCAGCACATCAATTTGGCTTTCGAGAAAGCCATGGAACAATAGAGCAAGTCAACAGATTAACAACAGAAATAAGGACTGCATTCGAGCTTCGGGAATACTGCAGTGCGGTATTCCTTGAAGTTGCACAGTCTTTCGACCGAGTCTGGCTTGATGGCCTTATCCATAAAATCAGAACGATCCTGCCGGGAAACACTCACAGGATACTTGAATCGTACCTTTACAACAGAGCCTTCGCCGTGAGATGCAACACCACAACATCCGATGACTACGCTATAAAGGCTGGAGTTCCCCTAGGTAGCGCCCTTGGTCCAACTCTATTTCTCCCTTACACCGCAGATATTCCCACGAACGAGCGGCTAACTACTTCTACATTCGCAGACGATACCGCGATCATAAGTCGGTCCAAATGCCCAACTCAGGCAAGAGCACTACTAGCCGATCATCTCGTTGTAGTGGAGAGGTGGTTATCAGACTGGCGTATAAAAATAAATGCGCAAAAGTGTAAACACATAACGTTTACTCTTAACAGACAAACGTGTCCCCCGCTAACCCTGAATAACACGCCACTTCCACAAGCTGACGATGTAACGTACCTCGGCATCCACCTAGACAGGAGACTTAGACAGCACAATCAAAAATCCTGAGAACTATCACTGGGGCACCTTGGTATGTTCGGAACGACAACATCCACAGAGATCTTGGCATTCTACCCGTAAAAGATGAAATATCAAAACAAAAAGCGTCCTACCACACCAAGCTAACTTCTCATCCAAACCAGCTCGCCAGGGGCCTAGCCAGGGCTTCCATCCGGACCCGATTGCAACGCAATGACCTTCCAGCTCAGCAATAGTTATTAGAGCCCCTAAATTTTCGCGCCAGTCACCTTGACTGTCAGATAGTTTTTTAATTTAAGATTCTATATACTTATTGTTAGTCTCAATTCAGAGAAGATCCAATAAATAAAATGCAAAAAAAAAATTATCTATTGATTTCCTAAAATTATAAATTTATTTATTTCTACCGTATATTATTTATTTCAAACATTTATTTATTTATTTAAAACATTTATTTATTTATTTAAAACATTTATTTATTTACTTAAAATCTTGTTTCTATATTTATTATCCGTTATAACATGTTTATATATTTATCTGTTTATTTATTATTTGCTAGTCCTTATTTTAATATTTATTATTCTTCTTAAGTATTTATTTCTGGTGGTGATTTGTTTATGGTAGGATATAGGAATTCTGAGGGAGATAGGTATATTTCCAAACAACAAATGGTGCGATACAAAGATGCCTTCCAATTACGATCTCCGATCGAAGGTTCTTCCGGGCGAGGAAGAGGAGAAATTGTGGTCCACCGATTTAGATGAGGTTGCTGGGGCCGAACAGCCACGTATATCGATGGGACTGCCAAGGACTCCGTGGGTCGTCTTCATCAGGAGCTGCGCAGGGAACTTCCGGTGGGAACAGATCCCACGCAACAGCAAGTTCTGGAGCAAGTGAACTCGGAGACGAACCAGCTTCTACAGATCGACGGAAGGGGTGACCGTACTCCGGAGGCGCTTTTAGACAACGCGGCGAGGTCCATCAGAGACCCATCGAAAGGCTCAGGAGTCCGACGTCAGCCAGTGCTTAAGGGAAGAAATCCGAGGTGGGTTCCTGGAAATGATGAAGCTGATGAACGAGGTGTTAAGGCCTGCTGCTCAGCGGCCGCAGCTTCCATACCATACCGATCAGCAGCAGCATCCGGGTTGGACGGACACGGCGGCACCACTGGCTCCAAAACTGGTCCAGAAAGGGGCGATTCCGAAGACTGCACCATCAGCAAGTACGATTGGCTCCCGTCCACCGCCACCAAGGGTTCCACCAAAGCCGCCTAGAAGGCCCTTGGAGTCGTTACCGGTGGAGAGGAGCAGTCCAGGATATCCTCCGGATGGCGAACGAGGGCGACGAAACGAGTCTCGAGATTGGCATTTCGAGGACCGGAGGGCTTCCCATTCCCGCGAGGAGCCGCGTTTATATGCCAATACAGGGCCAGGTGGCGGCAGCCAACAGGTTCGCATCGAGCGGTGGGGCGTTTCTTTTGATGCCGAGGACGAGCGAAACCCTGTGGAAGATTTCCTGTTCCGGCTAGAGTTCCTGCAGCGGCAGTACCAGTGCCCTTGGCAGGAGGTGTTCCGCCATTTCCATGTGCTGCTAACCGGACGGGCACGCAAGTGGTATTGGGTCCACGTGCGTCACTGCAGGGTGGAGAGATGGCCACAGCTGCGCGCCGCGCTGATGGACAGGTTCCGAAGCCACCTGGCGGAGCACGACCGGATGCATCAGCTTCTGCAGAGGGAGCAGCAGCCGGGAGAAGCCGTGGAGGATTATGTCCTAGCTTCTTGCCTAAAAAAATTACTGTTAGAGCGACAGATGGCAAAAATAATTAAAAAGGGCTTCAGAGAAAGTATCGCAAGATTCGTTTACGCAATGGATGTAATAACTGTGGACGAGTTACGGGAAGAGTGCTGCGAGGTGGAGCGCAATTTTGGACGACGAGGACACGCGGCCTATGCGCACCCGATGCGTTATCCTCCGGCGGAGAAGGCCAGGGTTAGCGAGGCAGCTGGTCCCGACATTGCAGAGGATTCCCAGTGGCAGGTGGAGGCGTTGCAAGCGAAGGCCCGAAATCCGTTCCGAGCGGGCTGCTGGAATTGCGGAGCCGTAGACCACGGGTTCCGTGACTGCGCGGCAACTGAACGGCGCCTGTTCTGCTACCGATGTGGAAGGCCAGGTACCGTGTCTCCGAAATGTCCGGATTGCGCGGAAAACGGTCGTCTGGGCGATCCGAGAGCGGGAAGGATGCGACCAGACAAGAGTCCCGCGATGCAGTAAATGTTCTAGAATGTAAAAAAGGTTTAGTATGTACGAGTAGTAATAAGAACAATTTAAAATACTTACCTTATGAGGAAAGGATGCGAAGGTACTTGGAGGCCAGGAATCGGATCTTCTCCAACCATCAATTGAGTGGGATGGGAACAGTCGACAAGCTTAAAGTGATCCAGGCCAAGGTGCAGATGAATCTCGAAAAGTCGTACGAGCGAAGTCGCCAGCAGTACGACAAGAGAGCTCGGACGTTCCTTGCGAAGCCAGGCCAGGAAGTGTATCGCCGCAACTTCGTCCTCAGCAACTTCAAAAGTGCCTTTAACGCGAAGTTTGCTCGGAAGTTCCTCAAAGCTCGGGTGGTGAAAGCAGTCGGCAACAATGCTTACGAGCTGGAGGATCTTCAAGGACGTCGGATAGGGGTTTATCACGCCAAAGACATCCGGGTATAACCTGAAAAAAAAGCAGAATAAATTGAAGGAGCACAACAAAAAAACAAAGGCAGTACTTACTGGTAAGCGTGGGCCCCGCGTAGGGCACCGTTTGGAACTGCATTCGGATTTCGCCAGACACCGATCTCCAATGCTCCCAATGATTTCGTCGAGTGGCCATGGTTCGAAAGCGTCTCTCTAAATCCTTGGGTGGTGTTGCATTTCAAGTTGGAATCGGCTGGAGGAATTAAGAAGGAGGTATTCGTTTTTGGTAGGGCTATCGATAAAGTAGGAGGGTGGCAACCCCTACTGGAGTGGCGCCCCCTTCTGCTGATGCCCTTGGCTATCTAGCTATTTAAAATAGCCCGGTTCGCTCTGGGTATGGCTAGGATGGCCTTGATATGTCCAATGACCCAATTTCGAGAGAGGCAAAGGGAATATGGCGAGATAGGAATGATAGGCAGAATGATATAGTCGCAGTCATATTGTCCCAGCAGACGGAACAAAAAAGTTGAAGTAGTGTTTGTTCCGAAATATAAAAAAAAAATTGAGTGTTAGAGAAATTTGGGTTTTTGGTTTAATAGTTTATTTTATTTATAAATAATTATTCGTAGGGCAACCGGGGTCCCAATACATAGGGCCCCGGGATATTTAAATTGGAAGTTTAAATCGGGATTTCAAATTGGAATACTTGAATTGGATTATTTAAATTGGAAGACTAAATTGGACTATTTAAATTGGAAATCTCAAATTGGAAAATTAAATTGGAGGATTAAATTGGACTAATTAAATTGGAATATTTAATTCGGAGATTGGCATCCATATCCATACGCACCTTCGTTCGACCCAGCGATACGAAGCAGACCAGCATAACTAGCCTTCCTCGGACGCCGCCAACGCTTTTATAACAAACGCCGGTGAGTCCATTCCGAGCTGTTAAGTCGCCTTGGGGTTATCCGGCTGCCAATTCGCGCCGCGTCGAGAGGCACAGCCATCTGTCCCTTCCTTAACCACCGTTCCTCGGGGTGTTCCAGGCCCTTGTTGCTGCTGACCTCCGGCAGAGTACTGCAGCTGCAGTTGGGGCATATTTAACCCGGCGCCTAGCCCAGAAGTGGCTGAAATCATTAATGTTAATTTGAATGTGCACATTACTAAATTTATGTACTTACCTGTTGACCTGTAAATTTATCCGGACTTAGACCCCTCAATTTGTCCTCGTTGTTGCCTGTGAAAAAGGTGGCGATTATTTTTTCGGCGGGATTGTTTACAGCGCATACTACTTACCGTTTGGCCTGCCCCTTCTTTTCCCTAGGAGCTCCTCAGGATTAGGTGACCCGACACATACCTAGTGTGTGCCCTTTTTTGCGCCTCGTTCCACTGTGAGTTCCACCAATACGTGTCTGGTGGAACATTATTTACGCGGCGCCTGTAGCCTTTGCCAAAGGAAGGTAATCTTCTGCTTTGACCGCGTAAATATGTAGACGGTGGCCAAGTTTGGTCGTAAAGGCTAAGAAAAGATGAATTCATTACTAGGAGTACTAGTTATGTTAACTTTAGTACTTACTGTGGATAATTAAATGTATATAGAAACCGAAATGTGTGAGTGAGTTGTAGCTGTGGGGGAGATGGAGCTGTCTTAGTCGCGAGGAGCGACTCCGACCAACTGATCATGGGTGATGCCTCCGTAGAATCCTCCAGGGCATCCTTGGTTGGGTGGGCGTGCTTGGCCAATAGCCACCAAAACACCATATTTTTCCCGTCAATTATAATTATTTACGTTGTTTACATTTTGTTTGTTTTGTTTGTTAGTGATGAGCGATAGTTTTTTGTGATGTGAGACGGGTGTCATCGATGTTTATGTTGTGGATACTGTAGGGATATTGGGGATACTCCGCCCTGGGCAGTGTTCCCAGATCAGGGGTTTTCCCCCTAGATTTAGGGGTTTTTTGACGTACTAGGGGGAATTTTAGGGGGGAGCAATTTTTAGGGGGAAAGTTTAGGGGTTTTTTTTTGGAAATTGTATTACCCAAATGTTTTGAAAAAAACACAAGAATATGTGATTTCGTATAATATTGCCACGCATAAAAACAACCTAAATATGGCAAAAATATCAAAAAATAATGGTCACGAGTACAAGTGTTACCAGCTGATGCTGGCGGTTTCTGGGAACCACTTGATATACATAATAAAAAAACGATGCAGGGACTGCTTGATTAAACTCACGGACGAATTGCAAGCACGATTTCCTAAGAACACAAAATGCCTTGAAAAAATATGTGTTTTTGCACCGAAAGCAGCATCCTTCTTCGAATAAGATTAACCTTACCAAACAATTGCAATAGCTTTGAACCATCCCCTCAAATGTATAAGCTATTCAATAGCGAGGAAGTGTACAAGACCAATTTCTCAAATGAAGTTCTCGAGGTGATCTCTTAAAATTCGATATCGTTTTCTTGTTTTATTGTATAAGTTCGAAATTAACTGATTTTTTTAATTTAGGGGGAAAACTGGATTTTTTAGGGGGAAATATCGCCTGTTTGAGATTTTTTAGGGAGAAAGCAAAATTTTCATCTGGCAACACTGGCCCTGGGGATTCGGGAGCTAGCCGGCGCCGTCCCAGAAGTCTAAAATGCAGTTCCATAACAATGTGAAATTGAGAATGGGGGGTCTCCTTAAAATGAAACAAATTACAGTGTTTGAGAACATCGCCTAACAGTGAAGTAACCTCAAATTTTACAGTTTTATAAGGTCATAAAGTAAGAATCTATATAGAGGTTTTATTTGCCCTGCCCGCACCTCTGCTGAATCTCTGCTGAGAGCTCTGCTCAAAGCTAATTTCGGTCTCTCACCACCCCCAACATGTACGAAGCACAAGTACTAGTATGGGGAGTTATCGCACCAATCCTTAGGAACAAGAGCGACCGGTGCAGCAATTCACCATGGAACTCGATTCCAGTTCGATTGAACAATTTAAAAATTATTTTTTTTTTGTTCCGTCATCACTGCCAAAGTCACTCGAGAGCGCGGGGAGAGAATGACGCCTCTATTCAGATTCTTACTCTATGATAAGGTACATATATGTTTCAGCTAGCGTGGCCGGTGTGACCGCGTGGAAAAACAACAGATTTTAATAAACTTGAATAGCAAAAAAATGTGGGTTTAATTTGCCTCTAATAAATGCATAAATTAGGTAAAATTAAGAAAATTTATTGTCGAAAATGACACTTTTTTCATTGGGGTCATGAATGGGCATTTTACATTGTGGTTCTTGTCTTGATACCCAAGAACTGTTCGACTGCTGAACTGCATCCTCACGGAGTGGAGCCCTATGTAATTTGATTTTAGCCCTTTTTAATAATTTTGCAATTCAAAGTTTTGTACGACTTGCCTAACTAGCGAGAAAATCAATGTTCAATGTCACTGACTCTAATTTGACGCACATGTTTTTCATTGTGTTTTGTTGTCCATTTTTGATGTACATATGTAGAAAACACTAATATAATATCAGTGATATGACAACTTTACCTTTTAAAGCCTAGTACTCAGATCGACGAAAACCGTACGCCTGTCATGAGAAAGAGCGAGAGGCAAACAGCTGACGTTCACTTTTCGTCGAGCCTTTTTTCACTTCGGTCCTCAGATCGACGAAAAAATACCAGAAAATTCCATAGCGTTGTCAGTCTGCGGAAATGAACTTTGGGTGAACCCTAGCGAAAAGATTAAAAAATTTAATCTTTTGGCGTGCGCTTCTCACCAAACATTATAAGAAATGGAGGGAAAAAATCAAAAAACTCACAAAAGTCGATTGCAGGTGTTTACATGCGAGGACAAAATAACATAACATTAAAATAACATTACTATCTGAACTGCCTCTTGTCAGAGCAAAATGTTTTTTAGGTCCAGAATGTACGAAAAAACACAATAAAAGTGCAGCTATGAACTTTAAATTAGCAAATAATTATCAGTAAATTAAAAAAAAACAAATGATAAATTTAAATTGTATTGTTTTTTAATTTCTTTGTACACCGGCAGACTTGTCTTGCCAATTTATTTGATAATATCTTTTAAAGGCTCTTTCCCGCAAATACGATAAATAAATAATAAATACTACTTGTCAACAAACCCAGCTGATTGACAGTACGACCGTAGCACGCTTAAATCTGATGAACTCTCAAAATTTTGGTCACACTGGAAAGATTAAAGTTTTTACGCTAGCGTAATCGTTTGTCGATCTGGATACTAGGCTTTATCAACAAACCTTCGACCGTAGCACGCTTAATCCTGATGAACTTTGCGGGAGCAAATACGATTTTTGAATTTTAACAGCTTGTCAACAAACCCAGCTGATTGACAGTACGACCGTAGCACGCTTAATTCTGATAAACTCTCGAAAATGCAGTCACACTGGGAAGATTAAAGTTTTTACGCTAGCGAAATCGTTTTTCGATCTGAGTATTAGGCTTTAAGCCTAGTATCCAGATCGACGAAAACTGTACGCCAGTCATGAGAGAGAGCGAGAGGCAAACAGCTGGCGTTCACTTTTCGTCGGGCCTTTTTTTCACGTCGGTCTCCTGATCGACGAAAAAAATACCAGAAAATTCCATAGCGTTGCCAGTCTGCGGAAACGTGAACCCTAGCAAAAGATTAAAAAATGTAATCTTTTGGCGTGCGCTTCTCACTGAACATTATAAGAAATGGAGGGAAAAACTCAAAAAACTCACAAAAGTCGATTGCAGGTGTTTACATGTGAGGACAAAATAACATTAATACTATCTGGGGTGCCTCTTGTCAGAGCAAAATGTTTTTTAGGTCCAGAATGTACGAAAAAACACAATAAAAGTGCAGCTATGAACTTTAAATTAGCAAATAATTATCAGTAAATTAAAAAAAACAACTGTTAAATTTAAATTGTATTGTTTTTTAATTTCTTTGTACAGCGGCAGACTTGTTTTGCCAAGGTAGTTGATAATATCTTTTAAAGGCTCTTTCCCGCAAATACGATATTTGAATTTTAACTGCTTGTCAACAAACCCAGCTGATTGACAGTACGACCGTAGCACGCTTAAATCTGATAAACTCTCAAACTTTTGGTCACACTGGAAAGATTAAAGTTTTTACGCTAGCGTAATCGTTTGTCGATCTGGATACTAGGCTTTAGGCCCAAAAATATCGCTATAATAATATATTTTTTTTATTAAATATCATCGATATATCGATATTTTTATATATTTTTGGCATCTCTACCTTTTAGCTAATTTTTTTTATACTGTTGAAGCGATCGTAATGGAAACTGGATTTAATGGGAATAGCTGAAACCTTTGCAGCCTAATGCCTTATACCGGCGAGAAAATCAATTTGAATGTAACCAGTAGCAACCAGTAGTCTGCAGCGGGAACTTGGAGGGAGCTGTTAATTTATAGCTGCCGAATCAGCCAGCAAAAGTCAAGTAGAAAATCAACCCCTAGCGTACCACATCTTACGCCAGCGACAACCAGTGGGAGTTCCGTCATTGGTCACAACTCTTATTCTGGTGTGCCCAGTCATAATCAACGTGAAGTAAATCAACGACTTCTAGTAGAGTTGGAATTTGCGTGAGTTATGAAATAAACTAGAGCTTTTTAACACCGGTGAAAAATTTGTAGTTATTGTTTTAGACCGTCACAAGATAACGGAACCAGTTGCAGACATGGAGCCTACCACTGCTGTGCCCAGCGTAGCCAACGCTCAGACAGTTCCCGTTAACTCCAAGAGGGCTACTCAACAAGGCCGCAAGAAGTCTGGACCGAAGTTCGAGCTGTCCGAGGCGCAGAAATCAGACATTAAGGAGGCCTTTGACCTATTTGATAACGAATGCACTGGCTTCATCGAGGTTAAAGAACTAAAGGTTGCCATCAGAGCTTTGGGCTTCGAGCCTAAAAAGGAAGAGATCAAGCGGATGATCGCCGAGATCGACAAGGACTGCAGTGGACGGATATCGTTTAACGACTTTTTGCACCTGATGACTATGAAGATGGCCGAGAAGGACACTAAGGAAGAGATACTAAAAGCTTTTCGGCTATTTGATGACGACGAGACTGGGAAGATTTCTTTCAAAAACCTTAAAAGAGTGGCCCGTGAACTAGGCGAAACGCTGACTGACGAGGAGTTGCGCGAGATGATCGACGAGGCTGATTTGGACAACGACGGTGAGGTCAACCAGGAAGAGTTTCTGCGAATCATGAAGAAGACCAGTTTGTACTAGAGGGCGCTCGTCCTGATTATCCCATTCCATTTCGTGAAATCTTCAAGATTCGAAAAAGTTTTCGGAATCGCGAGTTCACTAAAGCCCGAATAGACTTAGTGTTAAATATCCATTGCCCTATGGCTGGCAGCCATAAGCCTCTAGTCTTACTATTTTAATGTACCAGCGAAGATTTACTTTCTGTATTTTTCCACAATAATCTCGAACACTTAATGTAAAATCAAATAAATGCTGAAACTACAAATACAGAAAAATGATTACTTCGCTGAACCAAGATCCTATTTTTAATTATTAAAAGGGAGGGGATAAAATTTTTTTCAGTTTCATGACAAATTTATATATTCTTGCTCTTACTTTTAATTATATCACAGCTATAAGTGCAACAGTGAGCTATTTCCCTGGGCTCAGTTCGGCACATGTGTGAGTATTTGTCTAAAAAAGTAAAATAACAATATGTTGAGTAAAAAAAAAGAAATATAGACAAGTTATTAATTTTCCCGATTGCAGTTTTTTTTGGGTATTGTAGTACTACATTGTATGAAAATATTTCAGATGTATTGTTTATTACTTTATAAGATTCTAAAAAAGTATATTAATCAAAAACGGCCAGCCAATCTTTGAATACCATTGAATGATGCGTGCACTGCACGAAAGTCAGCACAAAATTTATTCGGACACTGTCTATTATCAAGTTTAACAGTTTATTTGTTTATTTTACGTATCACAGAAAGAGTGATTTTCAGAAGACATTACACAAACAAAAATTTAATTTTTGAAATTAGCTTTAAAAATATTGAAAGGAAAGCAAAAAAAATTGCTAAAATGTTGCACAAAAATTATTCGTACATTTCTCATTTATTGTGTTTATTTCTGAACTCAACGGTAATCGGCGATTCTTTTTAAAGTAGTTTAGTTGAAATTACTTCGGAGTAATTTTCGGCGTGCTTTTTTTTGTTTTTTGTTAGTTTTTTTGTGTTTTTTTGATACGATTGGTCAAAATGGAAAGAGTTAAAGATTTGTCACTAGATTTTCGAAAATCTATCTTAAATTAATTTTTGGAAAATCGTAGTTATCGCGAAATCGGTCGTACTAATGGAAAATCACCTTCCACAATACATAGTATAATCCAAAAATACTTAAAAACGGAATAATGAGCTTCAAATCACAAGAAAGCTAGAAGGTCTAAGATTCTGTATTCACGTGAGGGACGGAAATTTATGTCTACAGTCCTGAAAAATCCGAAAACAACATCTACAACAATTCAAAAGAATGTACATCAAGCGAAAATAAAAAAAGTTTGAGCCCAAACCATCCGAAACTACCTGTACAAGGCTGGTTTACATGGCAGAGTTGCTCGTCGAAAGCAATTAATTTCTGCCATCAACAAAAAAAAGCGTTTGGAGTTTGGAAAACTGCATATAACCACCCGGATTCGTTTTGGGAGAACGTAGTTTTTAGCGACGAATCCAAATTTTACATATTTGGACACTATGGGCACTATGTGGAGGAATCCAAATGAAGCCATGAATGAGAAGAACTTAATTCCAACTGTTTAGCATAGTGGCGGGGAATGTAATGATTTGGGGTTGTGTATCGGCAGGAGGAGTCGGTCGAATGGTCTTTATTGACGACAAAATTAATAAGAATATGTACAAAAACATTTTAAGCGAAAATTTGATTCCCAGTGATATAAAACTTGGTCTAGATCCGAAGACATTGTTGTTTCAACAAGACAAAATTCTTCGTCTTTGGTGCAAGAGTGGGTTTTATATCACTGCAAGCAGCTGAAAACACCTCCCCAGTCACCTGATTTAAATCCCATAGAACATGTGTGAGATATTCTTGAGAAAAGGATTCGGAAGCACGTCATTTCGTCCAGGGAGTCCTTAAAAACTGCATTGATGGCTAAATGGGGTCAAATTAGCGCTAATGAGACAAGCAATTTGGTAAAAAGCATGGGTCGACGCTTACAAGCTGTCATTGATGTTAGTGGAGGACCCACCAAATATTAAAAATATTAAAACATCAAGAAATATGTTTTTTCATTAATATTATATGAAGTGCACGAATAATTTCTGTGCGTAAAATTATGACTTTTCAAGTTCATTTAAGAAAATATCTAATTTTACTCTTGAAAGTTCCTTATTTTTTGTTAAAATATATTCTAAGAATGTTAACCTTCACGATGAAATATAAATTGTTTGTTTTCGTTACGTTTTTGTTGAGTTAAGCCTAGTATCCAGATCGACGAAAACTGTACGCCAGTCATGAGAGAGAGCGAGAGGCAAACAGCTGGCGTTCACTTTTCGTCGGGCCTTTTTTTCACGTCGGTCTCCTGATCGACGAAAAAAATACCAGAAAATTCCATAGCGTTGCCAGTCTGCGGAAACGTGAACCCTAGCAAAAGATTAAAAATGTAATCTTTTGGCGTGCGCTTCTCACTGAACATTATAAGAAATGGAGGGAAAAACTCAAAAAACTCACAAAAGTCGATTGCAGGTGTTTACATGTGAGGACAAAATAACATTAATACTATCTGGGGTGCCTCTTGTCAGAGCAAAATGTTTTTTAGGTCCAGAATGTACGAAAAAACACAATAAAAGTGCAGCTATGAACTTTAAATTAGCAAATAATTATCAGTAATGCCCTCTTCCCACAGAGCTCCATCCACCATCCGTTGAACGGATGGTCCATAAGGTTTTGCCGTTCCGAAAATTCCCAGTTAGTTCCCCATCCAAATTTGACGGACTTTTTTATACGATAGTTAGGCGATGTTTTTTGGTGCAACTCTGAGTTATTCTTCTTGACAATGGAAATTGGAACATTCACTACGAAAATTTAAAAAAAATAATGGCGGGTGACTTTTGAACAAGAAGGCGCCAATTCAAAAAATGCTGTTTATTCTTGTAATAATTAATTAATTAGTGCTCCATCCGTGTGGCAGCATTAGGTGTTGCTCCACTCTTTCCTAGGCGCATACCTTACTCACAACATTGAGCAGAACATTTAAAATGAAATAAAATATGAAATTATAATAAAACAAAAAACAAACATTTATATATAATGAACTTGATTTGTTACCATTTAGACAATATTGGGCAATAGCTGTTTATATTTTGTCTGCAGGTTGGCAAAAATCTGCAGACTTATTAGTTCGTTTTGAATGTTCGCGTAGATCACTTGCAGTCTGTTACCAAGTATCATTTATAACGCTGTTGTGCTCATTTTAAATGTTGTGCAAAATGCAACGGGCTAAAATGATGAGCCACAGCTGTTCAGATCAGCTGTTATCGGATGGTGGATGGTGGATGTGCTCTGTGGGAATCGGAGTTTCACATTTGTCAAAAATCCCAACCGTTTCAGACGGATGGACTCTATGTAAAGAGGGCATAAATTAAAAAAAAACAACTGTTAAATTTAAATTGTATTGTTTTTTAATTTCTTTGCACAGCGGCAGACTTGTTTTGCCAAGGTAGTTGATAATATCTTTTAAAGGCTCTTTCCCGCAAATACGATATTTGAATTTTAACTGCTTGTCAACAAACCCAGCTGATTGACAGTACGACCGTAGCACGCTTAAATCTGATAAACTCTCAAACTTTTGGTCACACAGGAAAGATTAAAGTTTTTACGCTAGCGTAATCGTTTGTCGATCTGGATACTAGGCTTTATTAATGAATCAAATTCAAAATCACGGGTGTCCGAATAAATATTGTGTTGACTGTATACATAACAGATATTGGTTATAGTCAACTCAAAAGATGGATCGATTATCTGCCATATATGGGACACAGTCGACCGAAGGGCTTTTATTTCCATGCTCCTAAAAATAACTTCTTTGGAAGCCATTATTCAGCTATTTCAGAAAAGAAAAATAACTACAGTATGTCAATAAAGTGTTTTGACAATGTAAAAAATGACATATTTCATATTTTTATGATTTTGAAAATTAATGAACAAAAAAACTAATTTCTTTAGTTAACTTTCTTAAAAATAAATAAAAACAAATAACGTTCAGTTTTTATACTGTCAAGAAAGTGTTTTGACAAAAATTTAAAGTGTTCTTATTTTCTAAAGCCTAGTATCCACTTCGACGTAAACCGTACGCCAGTCATGAGAGAGAGCGAGAGGCAAACAGCTGGCGTTCACTTTTCGTCGGGCCTTTTTTTCACGTCGGTCCCCTGATCGACGAAAAAAATACCAGAAAATTCCATTGCGTAGCCAGTCTGCGGAAATAAACTTTGGGACTGGCGTTGCCAGTCTGCGGAAATAAACTTTGGGTGAACCCTAGCGAAAAGATTAAAAAATTTAATCTTTTGGCGTGCGCTTCTCACTGAACATTATAAGAAATGGAGGGAAAAACTAAAAAACTCACAAAAGTCGATTGCAGGTGTTTACATGTGAGGACAAAATAACATTAATACTATCTGGGGTGCCTCTTGTCAGAGCAAAATGTTGTTTAGTTCCAGAATGTACGAAAAAACACAATAAAAGTGCAGCTATGAACTTCAAATGAGCAACAAATTATCAGTAAATTAAAAAAAACAACTGTTAAATTTAAATTGTATTGTTTTTTAATTTCTTTGTACATCGGCAGACTTGTCTTGCCAAGGTATTTGATAATATCTTTTAAGGGCTTTTTCCCGCAAATACGATATTTGAATTTGAACTGCTTGTCAACAAACCCAGCTGATTGAATGTACGACCGTAGCACGCTTAAATCTGCTTGAACTTTTTGTCACTTTTTGTCGTTTGTGGATCTGAGTACTAGGCTTAAGCATGCTTTTTTAAAATTTTCAGTGAGAATGGAGTGCGCTTCTTAATCTTTTCGCTAGGGTTCATCCAAAGTTAATTTCGTCGATCTGAGGACCGAAAAAAAAAAACGTTGACGAAAAGTCTACGCCAGCTGTTTGCCTCTCGCTCTCTCTCATGACTGGCGGACAGTTTTCGTCGATCTGAGTACTAGGCGTTAGGCGAAAATGCTTCTGAATCACGAAACAAAGTTTACAAAAAAGATAGTGTCGCCGCTTGGCCGATCACGGGGAAATGCCTTCAGAACACTAGTTAATATCGCCGCTTGGTTAGCGATATTAAAGACAACAAGAGTGTGTTAGCCTAACCTGAAATACAATTACTTAGCCTACGTACCGCAGTTTCTCTTCCCTCTCTCTGTGATAGCGCAAATCGGTTTAGTCTTGGCCGCCAATTCTAAGCTCTAAGCCCGATTTAGTGTGACCGAATAATATGACCCTAGAAATCCTCACACAAATAATA